GGGGGGGGCGGACCTGTGGTACCCGCGGTAGCGAGACCCGTTACATAGCGAGTGAGTGCCTGGCTGCCTCACTGCCTGCCTGCCTGGCCCTGCCCTCCTGCCAGCAAGCCAGGTGTGTTTTAGGATGGTCGTGTCTCCGACGTAGCCCCGCAAATTTACGGGGAATTTTTCCGGCAGTGTGGTAGGTACTTTACTTTGCTCACGCGACTGAATGCAAAATGTGTCATGTGTCCCCCCGTGGTGAACATTTAACATGCGGCAGTGTAACAGAGCGGCTTAAAAAGCATGCGTGCATCATCATCAGCTCTCTGACTAGCAAGGGAGACGGCTCTGCAAAAAAAAAAAAGTGCCCCTCCGCTTGACGGGGTCCTCACCTCGGATCCTGGAGAGCAGGCCGCTGAGTCCGCTGGCGGACGGGCGGAGCTGCTGCTGCTGCTGGGCCGCCGAGGACGAGGACGCCGTCGAGGACCGCGCCAGGGAGCTGGCCGCCGACGTGCACGACGAGCCGCGGCCAGACGACGAGCCGGAAGAGGACCTCGCCGACGACGATTCGGTCTCCTCCAGGATGACGCCGAGACCTGAGAAGAAAAAGAAATGAAAATTAGTCCAGGCAGATAATAGCGGAAGAGAGCAGCAGCAGAGCAGGAGGATGTCTCTGTCGCCAACAGACTCGGGTTCAAGCACGGGGGTCTCGGGTCACGGCCAGCCTGAGCGGGCTGGAAGCCACGGCTGTGCGCCGTGCGACCGAATCCGATCTTCGGTCTCATCTTCGATCCCAACCTTCGAACCGTGCTGTGCTCGCTTTTTCCGTTCCGATAGGAGAAGGCAGGAGGAAGAGGCACCACTCGGGCCGACACGACGGCGAGGTGCTCGCGGCCAGTGGCACCTCCCCGCCGCCGCTCCTGGAGCACAAAAGGGCGTTCGCCCCCTGCGCTCGCCTCCACCACGATGACCTCCTCCGACTGTTCGCTCGCTCGCTCAGAAGTTGTGACGCTCTCGCTCGCGGAGAGCGCGCGCGCTCAGCGATCCTCTTTGAATGTCAGTAACCGGTTCGAGGCGG